GTGTAGGCAACTGTGACTGTCTTTTCTGTAAGGTTGAAAGCATATGAGTATTTGAGAGCAGTTCTGATGTTTCTAGAGCAAAACAAAATGACCATGATATTAATTAAAGCTTGATATAGCTGCTGAAGAATTATCACCAGTGTTTTCTTGGTTGTTAGTATTGTAATCTGTGATGAACTGTTATATTTTATCTTATGTTCTATTATAACATGAGTACATGTCCTTAGCTGAGGAGAGTACGTGCCCACCTCCACCTCAGGTGCCTGGTGCTCAACAGATAACGGTTGGAAGAAATTACAAGCATGGGAGTAAAATAGCTTTTTCATGTCTGAAGAGTTTCCAGCTCATTGGTGTGAATGAAATAACATGTATAGAAGGGAAATGGCAATCGCCACCTCACTGTGTGGGTCAGTAGTGGATTTTTTTTTCTGTTTATTTAATTATGAATTTCTGTGTTATGCATTTACAATCATCATTAGCAGGAGAATGATATTATTTACGTTAAGATTGCTAAAAATTAAGTTGCTAAAGAAAGTGCAACTAACCAGCTGCTGGACAGTAAGACGTTTTATTTACACAGACTTACCTAAGATGAGATATAAAACTTTCAGATAGTCCCTCAAGAGCTGTGTGTTTATTTGCTTGTTTAGTATATTGCAAAATGGAGTTCCAGTTTTGACTGGAGGCCTTTAATAGTATCCTGGTTAAAAAAAAAAAAAACAACAAAAAACCAACCAGTACTGTTTATTATTTAGTTGTGTATAACAATCTTTGGGGTTTTTTTGTTTTAATTTTTTATTCTTTCTTGATTGTTCTCCTTTTTTTTTGTTTGTGGCTTCTTCCCATAATGTAAGTATAAAAGATATGGCATAACTCAGGCCATGTATTCTAAGAAATCCTCAGGAATCTGTAATCTAATTGTTAAAATATTACCGGTGCAGGTGATATCTTGTAAGCAGAACTTAATTAAGGGATAGAATAAGGTGTTTTCAGAAATGAATAGAAAATAGATAAGCACAGGACAAATGAGGTGCCAGCTGGTGATTGAATTGCACAACATGCCAGCCGTGTTTGTATTTTTAAGATGCAAATTTTTGATGCCATGTGGTTTCTCTTCTTTTACATTGCCCGGAAAGAAAGTCTCCCTTTCTCCTGACAAGTGGCAGACATAGAGAAGAATAGCCTAAAAAAAGGCTAAAAATACAGCTCAGTTCATAAAACAGCTTTGCTGAAATAAAGTTCCCAGTCCTAGTCCCTGAACAGGAACTTTGACTGCAATTAGGTCTTTAGTATTTTGGAATTCAGTGAAACATACGCTTTCAACTTGATGTGTCAACTAATAAAACTTGATTTAATAAGTGACTGAAAATGCATATAAAACATAATTTAAGCCCACCCGCTCTACAGTAGTATACGAGAAGAAAGCGTTGGGATAGCTCTGACTCAGAAGGGCTTCATAGAGATTTAATCCATTGTATGTATTAGGAAGCACATTATAATACTTTGTAAGTTTTGTTCTCTTGTTCATTTTCATCATGTCGTCATGAAACCCCTCAGGACATTGATACGGCTTTATTAACGGTGGAAAACTTCAATAGTTAACATTCTAGAAACTCAGTCTCCAAAAGAAGACAATGTCTCTTCTGTTTCTCTATGCCTATGAAATTTTCCCTGTTCTTCATACTAAGCTGTAACTGTATCTCCTTGGTATGACCTAGAAAATGGCTTTAGAGTTGGTTCAAAGGAAAAGAAAGAAACCCCATGTAGGAGAGAAAGAAGTGAGAAGTTTTGGGTTGTGTATCTTAGATGTTTCTTCATCTTCCTTTCAAGTAATCTGATTTATTTTTGGATGATTTTTTTTTTCCTTTTCAGTCTTAGACAGCATACGTCATTGGAATATTAATTGCCTTACATTTAATTGTCTTGTCTGTGTTTTCTGCATTTTATAGAAAGACCGTGTTTGCCACCCCAACCCGTAGAATGTGCTGATGATCCCAGGCTAGAAAATCAAAACTTAAAAATTGAAAGAGAAGGAAA